AAATGTCTATTCAAGTCCTCTATCCATTTTTAATTGCATTATATTTTAGGAGTTGAGTTGTATGAGTTCTTTACATATATTGGATATGGATTCCTATATGATGGGGGGATATGTTTTTACATATTTGAAAATTTTTTTTCCCCTTCTGAGGCTTGTCTCATCACAATGTTGTAGTGTCATATGATGCACAACGATTTTAATTTTGATACAGCCCTAATTATCCATTCTTTTCTTTTGTTGTTCACTTTTTGGTTCATACCTAAGAAATCTCTGACAAGTTTAATGTCATCAAACCTTTGCCCTATGTGTAAAGGGCAAACTACACATAAAAAAAAAAGCACATAAAAGCTACAACTTTTACAGTTTTAGCTCTTACATTTAGGTCTTTGATTCATTTTGCCTTATTTTATAGATAGTATTAGGTAGGGGTCTAAATTTATTTTCTTGCAGGTGGATATCTAGTTTTCCAGCACCATTTATTAAAGACTACACTTTTATAATTGAATGGTCTCACACCCTTGTCAAAAATCATTTGACCACATACTTAAGGGTTTACTTCTGCATGTTCTATTGGGTATATATGTCTGTCTTTGTGACAGTATCACTCACACTCTTTTGATCAGTGTAGCTTTGTAGTAAGTTTTCAGATCAGCAAGTATGAGACTTATAAATTTGTTCAAGACTGTTTTGGTTATTCAGAGTCTATATGAATTTTAGGATAGACTTACCTGTTTTTGTAAGTAATATCACTGGGATTTTGATAGGAATTACACTGAATATGTAGATCACTTTGATAGTGACATCTTAAAAATTTTAAGTCTTCTAATCCATGAACATAGGATCTCCTTCCATTTATTTGTATCTTCTCTAATTTCTGTCAGCCATGCTTTTCAGTTTTCAAGGTATAAGTCTTTTGCCCCCTTAGTTTATTCCTCTTATTTTATTCCTTTTAATGCTACTATAAATAGGACTATTTTCTCAATATTTTTCTTGAATTGTTCATTGTCAGTTATACAGATGCAAGTAATTATTATGTGATGATTTTCTATATTATAACTTTGTTCAATTCATGTATTACTTTTAAAACATTTCTGTAAAATATTTAGTTTTTAAAAATGAAAGCATGTTGTCTGTGAACAAAGATAATTTTAGTTCTTCCTTTCCAATATGGGTGCCTTTTATTTCATTTTCTTGGCTAACTGTTCTGGCTAAAACTTCCAGTACTATATTGAACAGAAGAGACAAAAGCAAGCATCTTGATCTTTTTCCTTATTGAAGAAAAGCTTTCAGTGTTTCACTGCTGACTATGATGTTAGCTGTGGGTTTTTTATACATGGCCTTTAATATGTTGAGGTAGTTTCCTTCTAGTCCTAGTTTGTTCAGTGTTTTATCATGACAGTGTTAAATTCAGCGAAATTCTTTTCCTCTATCAAAGGACTATATGGTGGATTTTTTCCCCTTCATTCTGTTAATGTAGCGTATTATAATAACTGATTTTCATATGTTGCTCATGTTTTTTTATAAATAATGAATAATTTTCTAGATCCAAAAATCGACATTAATTTCTTAAACTCAGGGGGGAAAAAAGAGGAGAAATTGTGGCTTTCCTAAATTTTAACTGGCTTCATTTTTCACAGTAACCAAGATGACTTATTTATAAAAGTTTAAAATTTTTGATTTTATAAATACTGGTTAATTTACAAGGAAGGAACAAAGGGAGGGGAGGGGGAAAGGAAGGAAGCAAGAAAGGTAGATCTTAGAGTTTCAGACCCAATTCCAACTCAAAATATCAGCAACCAAGAATAAATGAAGAAATAGAAAATGAACTGATCCGGGGCGCCTGGGTGGCTTAGTCGGTTAAGCGTCCGACTTTCACTTAGGTCATGATCTCGCGGTTCGTGGGTTCGAGCCCGCGTTGGGCTCTGTGCTGACTGCCAGTTCAGAGCCTGGAGCCTGTTTCAGTCTGTGACTCCCTCTCTCTCTGACCCTCCCCTGCTCATGCTCTCTCTCTCTCTCTCCTAGAAATAAATAAAACATTTAAAAAAAAAAAAAAAAAAAGAAAATGAACTGATCCTTCATTTATATTCCAGAAAGTTAACAGTGGACCAAAATTGATAGAAAACTCACTAAGGTGTTGTATTACTAGTGAAAACTCAGACCTGGTTATTGAATGGGTCCTGTTATATACCAACATGGCAGAAAAATCTTGGCCCGTAAGCAATTTCCAACCCAAGAACAACAAGATGCCAGCATCAGCCACAAGATGGATCTTTTAAAGTACACACACAACTGAAACATTTTTGTTAAAGGAAAGAAGAGAGGAATGAACAATGTCTAGAAAGGTTTAAGCCAAAAATGTTATTCATACATTAACTCAAGACAGTAAGAATTGCACATTATTAGTTTCTTTTTCTAAATGGACTTTCTCAAGCCAACAATAACATACCAGTTGTGTTTGGTTTAAGATCTTTACAAAAATATTTACAAAAACATATGCAACTTGGAAATTACTTCTACTTTTCTTAGGGTCAGTAATATCCAACCAAATACCTAGTTAAGATGAATGGCTATGAAAATCAGATATATCAGTAACTTTATCTGGGATTTTAAGAATCTTATCAAAGACAAGTTCAGATTTCCTCATTATCTCATAACTACAAAAACAAGTAAACTAATCAGAGAAAAACTTTCAACGTCAAAGAAAATATAGAGAAGATTCAATACACCAAAGATTTCAATACAAGTATTCCATTCCTCTAAGGACAACTCATCAGTATTTTGCTAAAAAACTTATTTTCAAACTCACTATATGAAACAATACATTTCAAAGTCTCCTTAGTTCACCACATTTCACCAAGCCAAGCTAAAACATGGACGTGTGCTATAAACATGAGACACATACTTTCCAGAAATATTAAGAAAAATAACGTATGAGTGCTTCAACTTGAGTCTTGCTGTGTGAGAGCTGACCACAAGATTTTGAACTAGGTAGCTTTTCTCCCCCAGGGATGCTTTGGCATACATGAGACTTTATTCAGCATATCAAACACTGGAAACATTACCCCATGATACTAAGTAAGTCTCGATATTACCAAAGAAAGATAATAAAATAAACTGTGACTACCAACATGGTTTCACACTGGTAGATACAGCTGAAAAGATTCTCTACTGAATCACAGGACTACCAACTACGAAAGACAGTCAGATGTGCACTGCCAGCACTTTGATGTATTTGAGAAAAAAACATGGAAAATGCACAACATTTAAAATTTTGGCAGATTAAATTCAGAAATGTTTCTAACTATGATGAAAAGACATTAAAACTACTCTGCAATCAAATAAAGTGATTAAACCCCACTTTCAAGGCTCATGGAATTTAAACTATAAAGAGAAATTTAAATTTTAAAAACTACGTTAAGAAAATATAAGAAACTTTAAAACCAATATAAAATTCTAACTGACTGATTTCCAGGAAGCTACTTCTAGCCAAAAGATTTTTTGAAATGATATCCACATACATGAACAGAAAAAATTTTTAATGTTTGTATAAGGTTCCACATAGAAATACGGTGCTACCTAGAAATCATATTAGAAACTGGACAAACGTAAAGGTGAACAAATGATTGCTATAATAGCTCACTGAAAAAATTCAAAGTAAAATAACTACTCATTACTTAATAAAAGGGAATTAGCAAACAGTAATTGCTGATAGAAAATTGAAATATATCATTCAAAAGCATCAAAAACACATGCTATTTAGAAAAAGTATTAACAAAACACTAGAACTTAAAATGTAACACTAAAAACTATAATACAGTGTTGAGAAAAATTAAAGATGACCTAAACAAGTGAAGGAACAGAATCCTGAGCATGAGTCATAAGGCAAAATACTGTTAAAGTGCTAATTCTTCCAAGGCACCTGGGTGGCTCAATCAGTTAAGTGTCTGACTTTGACTCAGGTCATGATCTTGTGGCTTGTGGGTTCGAGCCCCACGTTGAGGTGTGTGCTGATAGCTCAAAGCCTGGAACCTGCTTTGGACTCTGTGTCTCCCTCTCTCTCTCTCTCTGTGGGCCCCTCCCCCACTTGTATACTATCTCCCTCTCCCCAAAAATAAGTAAAAAAAAAAATTTTTATGTTAATTCTCCTCAAATTGATATACAGAGTTAATGCAATTCTAATACAAATCCCAGTAGACTTTTTTCATATAAAAAATGAGTTAAAAATATTTGAAAATAAAATATAAATCTCTCATAACTTCCAAAAAATGTAATTTTCTATGCAGAAAATCCAAACATGGGAACTGTAAAACAGAGCTAAGAGAATTCACTGAGAAGACGCAGAACGAAGAAAACTTCCTTATTTTCCTATATAACAGTAACAATTAATGTTAAAAATATAATGAAGGGGACCATTCATAATGACCACTAGGGTTTAAAAATAAACAGAAATTGATCAAACAAGTAATGTACATCATCTCTAGGATAAAAACTACAAAATATAAATACAATGTTACTGAAAGACAGAGAAAGAGGGGTGAAAGGAAGAAGGTTAATATATAAATTCCATATTATCCTAATCAAATTTCAAAAATAATTTTTGCTATTGATAGTAATGGAAATTGAAAAACAGAAGAAAGAATGCTTACAATTTTCAGGCTATTAAATGACCAAAAAATATCCTTTAGTTAATGAATATCCCTCTTTGTAGGAAGTCAAAATATTGTCGTACATAATCTTATTTTGTCTTCAAAATAATTAGCTTTTCCTACCTCAGAAAAAAATATCCTGATATTAGAGACCGAGAAATATCTCAGAAAAACAGAATTAAAACACAAGTTTCTGAATTGTGACACTCCAAACTTCTTCCAAAACATTTTAGACAGGTTAAACTAAGCTAATATTAAAGGGAAAATGGCATGCTTTAATATTTCATTTAATATGTATTTAAAATAGTCACTATGTGTCTGTTTTCCAATATTAAGATGATCTATTTTACCTACCCCAACAATCCGTTTCATAGCATCCAATTTAGCAGAATCTTTGTTGCTCTCCAACATTTGCTTTAGATCTTCATTCCTATACAAAAGAGAAGAAAAAGAATCCATATTTCAATATTTTACATTATAAAGCTATTAAAATACATTGTTTCTTAGGAATTAGAAATAATGATGAGCAGGATGCCTGGATGGCTCATTCGGTTAAGTGTCTGACTCTTGATTTAGGCTTAGGTCATGATCTCACAACTCGTGAGATCAAGCCCCTGCATCAAGCTCTACATGGAGCATGGAACCTGGTTGAAATTCTCTCTCTCCCTCTTCCTCTGCCCCTCCCACACACCCACTTTCCCTCTCTCTCTCCCTCTCTCTCTCTCTCTCACTCTCACACTCTCAAAATAAAATATGTTAGTAGGAGTATGATGTTAAAAGTGATTATGATGAGATCTCAAATGGAAATGGGAAGTTACTGGAAACTGGAGAAAAGGTAATCCTTGTTATAAAGTGGCAAGAACTTGAATACATTTTTTTTTTTATGTTTTATTTATTCCTAGGAGAGAGAGAGAGAGACAGCGTGAGCAGGGGAGGGGCAGAGAGAGAGGGAGTCACAGACTCTGAAACAGGCTCCAGGCTCTGAGCTGGCAGTCAGCACAGAGCCCAACACGGGGCTCGAACCCACAAACCGCGAGATCATGACCTAAGCAAAAGTCGGACGCTTAACCGACTAAGCCACCCAGGCGCCCCATAAATTTTCTTCTAGTGTCATATGGAAAGTAGAAGTTGAAAGTGATGAACTTGGATATTTAGCTGAGGAGATTTCTAAGCCAAGTATTAAAGGCACAGCCTGATTTCTCTTTGATGCTTACAGTAAAATGAGAAAGAAAGATAAACTGAAGGAACTGTTAAGCAAAAAGAACTAGAAATTGAAGATTTGGAAATTTTTCAGCCTATCCATACTGTAAAATATTAAGAATGCATCTTCAGACCTTTTTCAAAAGCGTGGCTGGAAAATTACTTACTTGGTCAAGAGATCACGGGTACCACTCATGAATAAAATCAGATGCCATAACAAAGGCCAGGAATAGAAATGGGATTATATAGCAGGGACACTGCCAGCTTGGAGTAAAAGGGTGAAAAGGAACAAAATGAAGGATGTCTGTCAGAATTCTGGATTCTACTGGACAGGACAAGGTGAGGACACAGAGAGAAGGCAACCATCTGTAAGCCAAGGAGAGAGCCTTGAGGAGAAACCTATAGTCTGCCTATAGTCTGATGGTAGACTTCTAGCCTCTTGAACAGTGAGAAATAAATTTCTGTTAATCAACCCACCCAGTCTGTGATATTTTGTTATTGCAGCTGTAGCAAACTAATACAGACAACAATGAACAATTCACTGAAGGAGAGACAGAAATGGGAAAAAAGTACATTTAAAGATAATTAATTCCACTGGCTACTAGAGAAATGCAAATTAAAACCACAGCAAAAAGCACTACACATATATCAGAATGGTTCTCATCTAAAATAAAAAAAACAGTAACAACACCTAATGATAGTGATGGCATAGAGGAAATGGATCACACATATACTGCTGGTGGGAATTTAAAAGGATACAGCTACTAAGCAGTTTGGCAGTTTTATATAACTAGCCGTGAAATTATCATACAACCAAGTAAGTTCATTCTTGGGTATCTACCCCTGGGAAATGGAAATTAATACACAAAAACCTGCACACAAGGGGTGCCTGGGTGGTTCAATTGGTTAAGTGTTCAACTTCAGCTCAAGTCATGATCTTGTGGTCCAGGAGTTCAAGACCCGCGTTGGGATCTGTGCTGACAGCTCAGAGCCTGGAACCTGCTTCAGATCCTGTGTCTCCCCCTCTCTCTGCCCTTCCCCACTCACATGCTGTCTCTCAAAACTTACTAAATGTTAAAAAAAATTTTTTTAACCTGCACAGAAGTATTCACAGCAGCTTGTATTCCTATCAGCCAAAATGGAAACAACAGAGATGTCCATCAATGGATGAATGGTTCAACACACTGTGGTACATCCATAGCATGGGTGTACCCATAAAACCCATAAAAAATTGGGGTTTTTTTTTAACTGTAAGTTAAAAACTTAACTTATAACAATTGTGACTCATGTATGAGAAAACAAACCAATCAAAACTGAATGGTCAGGCGCACCTGGGTGGTTCAGTCAGTTAAGTGTCCGACTTCAGCTCAGGTCATGATCTTGTCTGAGCCCTGTGTCGGGCTCTGTGCTGACAGCTCAGATCCTGGAGCCTGCTTCCTATTCTGTGTCTCCCTCTCTCTCTGCCCTTCCCCTGCTCATGCTCTCTCTCTCAAAAATAAACATTAAAAAAAATTTTTTTTAAATGAATGGTCAAAAAAAAAATGAGTGGTCAAGAGGCATCTGGCTGGCTCAGTTGGTGGAGCATGCAGCTCTCAGTCTCTGGGGTTCACCCATGTTGGGTGAAGAGATAAGTTAAAAATAAAATATTTTTAAAAATAAATGAATGGTTGAAATATGTGGACAGACATTTCACAAAAGAACAGAAATGCCAATAAGCACATGAAAAAATACTTATGATCATTAATTGTCAGGTAAATGCATACTAAATGAGATATTACACACCCATTAGAACAGTTCAAATTAATAGACTAACAGTAACAAATGTTGCCAAGGCTCTGGAGCAATTTGAACTCTCATGCATTGCTGGTGGGAATATAAAAACAACAACAACAAAAACCAACACTTTGGAAAATTGGGCAATTCTTACAAATTTAAGAATCATATGACCTACCCATTTTACTTCCCAGAGAAATTAAAAAAAAAAAAAAAAACTCCACATGATGACTTACATGAATATTCACAGCAACTTTATTCATAATAGTAAAAAACTGGAAAAAATATAAATGCACATCAGTAAAATGTCACTTAGCCAGACACTGGAATACTACTCAACAATGAAAACAAATTAATTACTGATACATCCAACAAGGTGGATGAATTCTCAAAATCATTATTCTGAGTGAAAGAAGTCAGACACAAAACAGCATGATTTAATTCATTTAAAATTATAGAAAATGCAAACTAATCTGTAGAGACTGAAAGATCAGTGGTATCCTGCGGTCATGGGGTAGAACGAGAATTGGACAGCAAAGCAACATAAGAAAACTGTATTCCATAAGAAGACAGAAACGTTCTGTATCTTCTTAACTGAGGTTGTGACTGAACAGGTGCATATATCTGTCAAAACATCTAATTACATCTTTAAGTTAACTTATTGTGTGCAAATTATATCTCCATAAAGTTGATATTAAAAACTTTCATAATGTTTTATTCACATGTATAAATAAAATGCTGAGTTCTCCAAAGAAAACTAAAAGACATACATCTATCTTGAGAAAAATATTACTAGGGACCAGATAAGCGACTATTTTATATACTTAGAAATCAGAGTATCATATTTAAGCTCCATTCATGCTTACCCAAGAATTTAAATCACTGAACATTATTTGAGTACATCAAAGGAAAATTCTCTCGACTGACTGTAAGAAACTGACAGGAAACTAAGACTGTACTATTACATATTTTAATTACTTGCAGTAGTTACTAGTTTATTATTAGCAATCTTTCATACTTTTTACAATAAAGCCTGCAGAAAAAAGAAAAACATTTACTCTACATGGCTCCTTCATCAAACAGTTCCAACACCAAAAACAGACTATCAGAAGCCCTTTCATCTCATCTTAAGGCCTGCAAAGAGATCAGAAGAGCTTCCCTAACTACAAATAGAAAGCCTGGACACAAAAGTACTTTAGTTTTTGCATATTTTACAAATTTAAGCCCAATGTAGGCAGTAAGCACCAAACAAGAATGATCAATCAGGTGTTATTAGAGGATAAGTTGTGTCCCTTCCAAAATTTCTATGAAGTCCTAACCCCAAAGAACATAGGTATTTGGAGACTAGCTTTTACAGAGGTAATTAAGCTAAAAAGAGGCCAAAATGGGTGGGCCTCAATCCAACATGGCTGATGTCTTTGTAAAACCGGATCAGGACACAGACACACAAAGACAAGGGAGAACCAGGTGAGGACACGCAAGCTGGCGGCCATCTGCATGCGAGAGGGAGGCCTCAGAAGAAATCCAAGTTGCCAACACCTAGATTCGTAGACTTCTAGCCTCCAGAAACTGGGAGAAAATAAATTTCTTTTAAGCCACAATCTGTGGCATTCTGTTATGGCAGCCATAGCAAACTAATATGTTAAATGTTACAAACTGTCACTGCATTAAAATATATATATAACTATATATATATATTTTTTTTTTTTTAACAAAAAAGAGTATAAGCAATGAAATTTATCATGGAAAAAGAATATTGTTCCTTTCCAAGCAGCTCATAACATTAAATACACTGGTGATTACCAGTGGGACACAAAAATAATTAAACTATTTAAAAACTGACTTTTCTCTATTAATTAAACATACACCTAGAAATACACTAGTAGAAAAATCAATATATAAAAACTATATCTGATAATATTCAACTACCAAACATTAAAATACTATAAATATTCACCAAAATACTTAGAAAACCTTCTCTTTTTTTTTTTTTTTTAATGTTTATTTATTTTTGAGAATGAGAGAGCAGGGCAGAGGCAGAGAGAGAGGGAGACAGATGGTCCGAAGAAGGTTCTGCACTGACAGCAGAGAGCTCAAGGTGGGGCTTGAACTCAGGAACCAACTGTGAAATCATGACCTTAACCAAAGTTGGACACTTAACTGACTGAGCCACCCAGATTACCCTAATCCCTCCTTAAAAGGCCTCACTCTTCCACATAGCTAAGGTAACTGAAAACGGAGAAAAAAATAATGGAATCTCGCATGAGGGGTTTTTTCCTTCTACTTTTTGTTAGTTTTCAACTTTACTCAATGACCATGTATATACTCACATAAATGAAAAATCTAAACCCCTCCCCCCCCCAAAAAAAAGCTTAAAAACCTTATTAGGGGTAAAAAAGCAAAAAAACTGACCGAATTAGATAGGGAATAATAGAATGAAAATATGATCACACAAAC